CTTTAGGGCCTGATCCCCAGTGCTGCCACTGCTCATTCATCTGGTCATTTAGGAGACAGCTTTCCTCCGGGGTCACCAGGCCCTGTCACTAGCTTACAAATGAACCCAGGGCATCTTATGTGGGGAAACACCTCAATCAGTTATCTCTGCTAACTTTTAATTGGAACCTGGAAAAAGGCCATGGTCTCACTCACTCCCCTATCAAGACCTCCTATGGGCCAGGCTTGGTGGCTCACACCTGTAATCCCAGGACTTTGGGAGGCCAAGGTGGGCGGATCACCTGAGGTCGGGAGTTCGAAACCAGCCTGACCAACATGGAGAAACCCCATTTCTACTAAAAATACAAAATTAGCTGGGTGTGGTGGTGCATGCCTGTAATCCCAGCTACTTGGGAGGCTAAGGCAGGAGAATCACCTGAACCCGGGAGGTAGAGGTTGCAGTCAGCCGAGATTGTGCCACTGCACTCCAGCCTGGGCAACAAGAGCGGAACTCCGTCTCAAAAAAGAAAAAAAAAAAAAAACCGACCCCCCTATGCTCACATCCTCACTCACTAACAGGATGTTAGTGGCTTCTATTTTTCCCTCCCAAAAGTACCTGGAGAAGGGAACAAAACCAAATTATGATGCTCCTAAGAGGAGCTCAGTGAACTGTCAAACCTGGCCCACCTAAGTTACCTACTGAGGAGAAAACTTTAAAATCTTTCCAAGCCTATATAAACAAGTCTAGAGTTGACCAAGGCCTCACATGTCATCTGGTCCAATGCATGCATCTCACATTTGCCTGAACACTCCTGGAGGTGGGAGGTTCATCATCTCTTGATGAAGTCCATCTAACTTAAAGGTTTTCACAAGATGCTTTTTCTTATAGTGTGCCAACATCTGCCACCTAGATTATTCCCCGGCTGGCCTCATCAAGAACCACCCCAGGACAGCACTGCAGAAACTCCTATGTCTTCTCTGCTGGAGCTCTTCCAATGCTCATCCCTACACACTGGTGCTATTTTGATCACTGACTTTCCAAGACGAGTGCCGATGAATGAATAACTAAAAAACACAGAAGACTGCAGGGAAGAAGTAAGCCTTACAGTTATGGAAACTTTTAGATGCTGAAAACAAAGTCAGCAATGATGATCAGAAGACAGTATAAGAACGCCATCAGGGGAAAGGAAAGACATTTACCCTGAGAATATCAACAAGGGCAAATCTAAGATGACCAAGGTCACTGGCCCTTCCTGTGTCACAGGACTGTGGCAAAAGAATACATCACGAGAAAGGATGGGCATATAAAGGAAATAGTAGGATGAAATTCTACTCAATTTCCCAACACTGGTCTCCAGACTGGCTAAATGTGACTCATCTATACAAGTATTTAAAAATTCAGAGACCTGGGCCCCCATCCTCAGGGGGTTATTGACTAGATTGAGGCTGGAGTTCAGGGATAGACAGCATATACTTTCACAAAACTACTCAGGGAGACCTACAATCCCAAAAAAGTTAAGGTCCACTGGTTTGTGCCAGTTTTTGCAGGTGACGAAATAAAGGCCAAAGAAGGGAAGAAATCACCCAAAAGGTGAGCAGCAAAGCTGAGCTGGAACCCTGTGCTTCTGACCCTCCCCTACGGTTCTTTCTGCCCCCTTCACCACCTCTGGAGTTACTCTGTAGTCACTTCCAACCTTAACACTTCAAGATATTTCCAAGATGAGAAAACAAAGCCCCCCAGACAATTACAGAAAAATGAGATGGTAACTACAATAGACAGAAGAAAATAACCTCTTACGTGATGCCTAGACAAGGATTCACCAGCAGACACCCCTTCCCCTCCTCCATCTAGCAATGACACAGCCCAGTCACTCCTCCCCAAGTAGCTGGGAGTGACAGTTTCCTGGTAAAATTAGAAAAACATCCCACAATCTGCAGGACACCAAGTGGTGCCTCCAAGGACCAAACAATTCACTGCCCTTACCTAGCTGCCTCCAGCACAGATCCCCAGGAGCATTAAAGAGAAATCTGTCTGCCTTCTCCCTTCCTTCCCTTCCCCTCAGTCCTGAAGCTGGGGGTTTAGGGATGAAGAAGTTCATAGTCTGCTGGCACGGGGCACTCACCAGGAGGCACATGAGGACAGAGGGCCGCAGGCAGTTTGGCAGAGGGCATCATGAGCCCAGCCTGTCCAGAGCATCACAGGTAATTTAGCTGCACCATGGCAGTGAATGGCAGCCATGGGCAGAGGTCCTAGTGGGCGGGCACTGAGGGCCTAAACTAACCTCTCTCCCACCACTGCCTCCTTGTTCCTCCCTGGCCTGGTCTGCCAGGCTTGCCAGGACACCAGGAGAGAGACAGTGGAGGCAGCAGCAAAGAGAGGGAGGAATTTCCACTGGACACCCTTCACCCTTGAAACAATGCAAGCATCATACCAGACCTACAACCCTTGCAAAAATACACTATTTTCACTTTCCATTCAAACAATTTTAAAAAAATCAAAATTTTGGGACGTCCCCAAAGACATAAACTTTTGTTAAGAACACAAAACCTTCAGAATCCACAGCATACACACACACGTACACAAAATTCTTCCACTTTAAAGAGGTCCAACCCACCAACAAACAAGAGAAGCACGCACATGGCTGCCTCGCTGGCCCCTTCCTCTCAGAATCTCCCTTCTAATTCTCCTTGGCTTAGAACACTCTTAATCCCTACTTCTGTCCTTAATGAACTCTTTCCAGGCCATCCAAAAGATACTCCCATAGTTCTCTGCCCATAAGGCACTTTGCACACACTTTTTTTTTTTTGAGGCAGACTCTCGCTCTGTCGCCCAGGCTGGAGTGCAGTGGCGCGATCTCAGCTCACTGCAACCTCCGCCTACTGGGTTCAAGCGATTCTCCTGCCTCAGCCTCCCAAGTAGCTAGGACTACAGGCACATGCCACCACGCCTGGCTAATTTTTGTTTTTAGTAGATGGAATTTCACCATATTGGCCAGGCTGGTCTCCAACTCCCGACCTTGTGATCTGCCCACCTCGGCCTCACAAAGTGCTGGGATTACAGGTGTGAGCCACCGTGCCCGGCCTGCACACACTTTTGTGGTAGCATAAACTATGGAGAGCAGTAACAAATAAAAAAAGCAACAAGCTAATGGCTGTTGCCCTTCTGAATATGGACTCCACTGTTATCAGAATTTCCAAATTTTTAATCCAGCTTTTTAATGTGAAGTAGCCTCATTTTAAAAATGACAATTCTGGGGGTAGGGATACAGAGCAGAAAAGTGTAAGTAAACTGTTTAAGAGAATTATGTCTTAGTTGTGGCAGGAGTAACACAAGTGTTTTAAAAATTCAACAAACAGCACACTTTAAGTTGGCAAATTTTATGTAAATAGTATCTTAAAATAGAGAGGGCAAAATGCTGGAAACCAATTCAAAATTGTTTTCAACTAGGCTGACCAAACAAAACACATCTGTTAATCAAATCTGGCTTGCAGATTGCCAGCTGACAGTCTCTGCATTTATTGTAATTACCTGTTCACCTATCTGTTTCGTTCCCTGGGATTAGAAATTTTTTTTTCTTTTTTTTTTTTTGAGACGGAGTCTCGCTCTGTCACCCAGGCTGGAGTGCAGTGGCCGGATCTCAGCTCACTGCAAGCTCTGCCTCCCGGGTTTATGCCATTCTCCTGCCTCAGCCTCCTGAGTAGCTGGGACTACAGGCGCCTGCCACCTCGCCCAGCTAGTTTTTTGTATTTTTTAGTAGAGACAGGGTTTCACCATGTTAGCCAGGATGGTCTCGATCTCCTGACCTAGTGATCCGCCCGTCTCGGCCTCCCAAAGTGCTGGGATTACAGGCTTGAGCCACCGCGCCTGGCCTTAGAAATTCTTAAAGGCCTAATATACTTCTTAGCAAAGTGTCTGACAAAATCCAATAGTTAATCAGTTGTAGGCCTACTCCTGTCATTTATATTGTGCAGACTCAAGCGAGTTACTTAATTTCTGTGTGCTTTCAGGGGATTTTTCTCATAAAGGAAGGTCTAATATCTCCTTCATAGGTCTGAAGTGAAGATTAACAGAGAAGATTAACGTTAAGAGTGCTTATAAAATGTGGCTGGGTGCAGTGGCTCACACCTGTAATCCCAACACTTTGGGAGGCCGAGGCAGGCAGATCATCTGAGGTCAGGAGCTCGAGACCAGCCCGGCCAACATGGTGAAATTCCATCTCTATTAAAAAGACAAAAATTAGCCGGCGCACACGCCTGTAATCCCAGCTATTCAAGAGGCTGAGGCAGGAGAATCACTTGAACCTAGGAGGTGGAGGTTGCAATGAGCTGAGATTGCTCCATTGCACTCCAACCTGGGCGACAGAGCAAGACTCAATTTCAAAAAAAAAAAAAAAGATACCTCTTATAAAACGTAAGGCCATGTCATTCAAGAGCAAGTAGTCTCTTGTCAACTACCAATGTAAACTCTGAAAACCTCCATTTGTGATTGAAGAACTTACTATCTATAGAATATGGTTAGAGAAAATGAGGCTGAGTGGTCCTAAGGAAACCTTTATATTTTAAGTCACTAAAATCAAGACCATGATCTTTTAGAGCTATTACATTAATAAGAATGGAACTGTTAATGACCATTTACCTCAGATCCTGAGATGATTTCCTGAGCCGATGTCCCCAAGTTTAGCTCAGGACCCTGCAGAGTTTAAGCGCAATGTTTGTTACATGACTAAAATGATAGGGATGTGTGGCTGGTGATGAAAAGGATGATGGTAATTATGAAAATGATGTTAGCGTAACAAGGGAAGGATGGTCTCTGGAATCTCTTCATCCTTCAACTCAGGTACCTCTACTCTCTCCAGATTCACTTCAAAGGTTACATTCCAAAGGTTCAACTTCACATTAATGGCTTGGACAGTTTCTTCAGACATATCAAGACTCTGAGTGCCATGCCAGAGGGTCCAGGCTTTTCTTCTGGCAGCTTCTTATCCTCCATCTTGTCCTGCTCCTTATCGGATCCTGATTCAGAGTCAGATTTCCCCTCAGACTCAGATTCTGTATCCATCACCTTCACCTAGATGACATCCTCTTCTTCATGTCTTCTTTCTCTTTCCAAGTCCTTTGCTTTATTTTGAAGGTTCTTCTGCATCTCTTTATAGGTATAAGCAATTTATTGAAATCTTTTTTAAAAGCCAAGCTTTAATCCAGGAAAGGATCCATATCAATTGCAGCATCAGTGAGGCCTGAGGTCTGGCATCAGACAGCATTCAATTTCCTCTGTCTGCAAAGACTTCTTCCTATGGACATAGACTCTCAGTTGTGACTAAAGATTGAAACTTGAGTAGCTCACTAATTTCACTTTCCCTGATATCAATGAATCTTAAACCCACCTGTTTTGCAGACACTAAGTTTTTTTAACTTCTTCATTAGCTCTAGGGAAAATGCATCATCATTCACACATCCTCCCACAGTTTCCAGCAAGCTTAAGAGTGGCTGATTTTATATCACCCATCACCTCTTTTATCACTACCAAAGAATCAGCAATATTGTACTGTTGCCATGTTTCTTTCAGAGTAAGGCGAAGGTTTTTTTAAATACAGTCAGCAAAGTGGTCAAACATATGTTTGGTGTAATACCTCCCAAATGCTTCGATTATACCCTAACCCAAGGGCTGAAGAAAGCTAGGGCCTTCCTGAGGGAGAAACACAATCAACATTAGAATGAACAAAGAATAATGAATCTGGGTGATTGGGACCTCCGTCCACAATTAGCAACATTCTGATTTCCGGATTTTTTTTTCTGTTAAATGACTTCGGACTTGATGGATAAAAAAATAACAAAACCAATCCATAAAGTGGCAATGGTGATTCTGGGTGTGTTCACAAGAAAACAGGAAGGCGTTTATCTCTTTCTGAAAGACAAGTGGGGGATTAGAGTCCTTGTAAAGCAGCAGTGGTTTTATCATTTTGTCACCTGAGGCACTGCCACAAAAAAAATGAGGGAAATCCTGTCCTTAGCCTCCTCTAAGCTTTCCAGAGTTTTGTCTTTTGCCCCAAAAGTAGGAAGGCACGCACAGAAAAGATGGGTCGTCTCCTTGGTGTTGAAGACCTGTTGAGGCACATAGCCTCTCTCCAGTTGCTTGGAATACTCGGTGCCCACTCAGCATTTAAGGGTCCTTCCTCCCCATCAACCTGGTACATTGCAAAACAGCAGCGATTTTTAAAGTTCTCAAACCACCCCTTGCTCCCATGATACTTATTTGGGTTGTCCTCCCCAGATGTTTCCTACAGGTTCCCTGTGGATATATTAGGCCTGGTTGCAGATGGCCTTCCCGGTCAGATGTCGCCCTCTACCATCTGGCCCTCCACCTAAAAGGTTAACTGGATCTCCACCTTCACGATGTTTACATTACCGGGAATACACAGCAGCTTGGAGCAGATGGGCGACCAACTTTCCACACTGGTTTTTTTTGGTTTTGGGGTGGGGGGAGGGCGCCAAGGTGTTGGGGAAGCAGGGTCTTGCTGTCACCCAGGCTGGAGTGCAGTGGCATAATCACAGCTCACTGCAGCCTCGACCTCCCAGGCTTAGGTGAGCCTCCCGCTTCAGCCTCCCGAGTAGCTGAGACTACAGGTGCGTGCTACCACACCGCACTGATTTTTTTCTTCTTCTTTTTTTTTTTCTTTTTGGTAAAGACTGGGTTCTCACTATGTTGCCCAGGCTGGTTTCGAACTCCTGGGCTCAAGCGATCCTTCCGCCGCGGCCTCCCAAAGCGCTGAGATTACAGGCACGGCCACCGCGCCCACAGCTGCTTCTCCTTGGTGGACTGATCAACACCAACAAGGCGGCGCACGTCCCTATTACTCACGCCTTTGTCCGGCTCCTGGAGAATACTCATCCAGTCTTCCTGGAGGCACGACGCTCCGCCTCCTCTTGACAGGTGTCTGGCCCAGGATCAAGATTCCCCTCCAGGCCTCCGCTCCGCCTGGGGCGGCCTCACCTGCGGTCGTAGCCGCGGTGGCCTCCCTAACGGCTGCGGTCGCCCCCGCCTAGAGCCTGGTTTTGGAGCCGCGAGGCCGCCCACGAAGCTCTTTAACTTCCCGTAAGTCCCCATCCTCGCCGCTCCGCTGGCTGGGAATTTGGCAAGTCTTGCCCTACGCGATAAACACGTAAGCCAACTGGCTAACTGGCCTCCGCAATCTCCTGAGCAGCGCCCTAGATGACGCCAGACAGAGGGAGCCGCAGCCACTGGCTACAGTTGACACGGCACTAACGGACACTTCTCGCGAGGCTTGGCAGCCCCATAGCAATCTCAGGGACAAGGAGGCTGTGATCAGCAGATCTCGCGACGTTCAGGGAAGCGCCCCGGGAACCGGGCCGCTGGGCCAACCCCTGCGTGGGGAGGGGCAAGATGGCGGCCCAGGCCTTGGCGTTGCTGAGGGAGGTAGCGAGGCTGGAAGCGCCGCTGGAGGAGCTACGCGCTCTTCACTCAGTGCTGCAGGCAGTGCCGCTCAACGAGCTTCGCGAGCAAGCGGCGGAGCTGCGCCTCGGCCCGCTCTTCTCCCTGCTTGATGAGAACCATAGGTGAGAGGACCCCGGGACCTTGAGCCGAGGAGAGGGGCACCCCTAAATATGGACACGAGAGTGGTTGAGGGCAAGAACAGCGCTTTTCCCAGTCACAGGGGAGGTGGAAAGTAGCCGAAATTTGCAAAGAGGGAAGGATCCCAGGTTCAGAGGGCAGGAGACGGGATTCAGGTTCAGCCTCTGAGAGTGCCCCAGGGTGTTTTCTCCCGTCGCCTGGCCTCGCTGCCTCTGAGCAGTGAGGCACTGCCTTCTCCTTCAGATAGAAATTAAAGGAGAAAAGCAAAGCTGTCCACTTACAAGGAGCATTCCACATCTCTTTGTACAGGTTCTTGATTTGTTACCTCTTCTAAAAGGATCCTGTCCTGGCAATGTGGCAAGAACCATCACCATTTTAAATTCACATGCCTTTTCATCCAGTTATTCTTGTTACAAAAATTTAATGCAAGTATACGCGCACAAAATGTGCAGTTATTTTGTTCTTTCGAACCCGAGGCTGGAATGGCCCCAAAAACAGCGGCAAGGGAGTTCCCACAAGGGAGTGCTTCAAACCTTCCCGAGATGTGGCTGGTTGGGATGCCAGAGAAAGAAGCACTGAATGCCAAGGCGATCAGTCCAAAAGGGCTTGGGGGAACCTACGGAGGGCTGCAGAAATTATCAAGACGGACACCGGGAGAAAAGAGGTGTTCCTGGGTTTGGAGTTTAGTTGAGAGTTTAAAGGAATTTGGCTCGGGATTGAGGCCAGTTTCTTCCAGTGTTTTGGGCAACAACCTAGGTACCTTTATCAGGCCTGGGAATGTTCAAGGCCCCGGGTTTATGGTCAAGCCTGCTAGGGAAACCTGCTGCTGGCTAGGTCAGAGAGCAATCAAGGCACTCTGATTTTCCATCAGCACACAGAAAGAAAGGGGGCGACTGGAGGACCCTACAGTATTATATGCAAGAATATTTGTAACATATCGTGTGTGACACCAAAAGACTAGAAACAATCTAAATATCCGTTAACAGGGGATTCCAAATTATGCGCTACTACTCTGTAACACTATGCAGTTATTTAAGACGTTGAAGTAGATGTATATATGTATGTGGACATGGAACGATTTCTGTGTTGTTGAATGAAAAAGAAAATTGCAGAGTTTATGAATCTATAATTTTAACCTGTAATTTTTAAAAAGGATTACAATCCTCCCAACCCCCACAGGCTTGTATAACTTGTATAACATTGCAAAGATCTGCGAAGGCACACCAGAAACTATTATTAGGGAAGTGGGTCTGAAAAAAGTAGGACAACTTTTACTTTTTATTTTTTTCACATCCATAGTGTTTGATTTAAAACACTTTGTAGGCTGGGCGCGGTGGCTCACGCCTGTAATCCCAACACTTTGGGAGGCTGAGGCGGACGGATCACCAGGTCAAGAGATGGAGACCATCCTGGCCAACATGGTGAAACCCCGTCTCTACTAAAAATACAAAAATAGGCTGGGCGCTGTGACTCATGCCTGTAATCCCAGCACTTTGGGAGGCCGAGGTGGGTGGATCACAAGGTCAGGAGTTTGAGACCAATCTGGCCAACATAGTGAAACCCCATCTCTACTAAAAATACAAAAATTAGCCAGGCATGGCTAATCCCAGCTAGTCGGGAGGCTGAGGCAGGAGAATCACTTGAACCCGGGAGGCAGAGGTTGCAGTGAGCCGAGATCACGCCGCTGCATCCAGCCTGGTGACAGAATGGGACTCTGTCTCAAAAAAATAATAAAAATAAAAATAAAAACACTTTGTAGACCAGGAGCAGTGGCTCACTTGTGTAATCCTAACACTTTGGGAGGCTGAGGCGGGTGGATCACTTGAGCCCAGGAGTTCAAGACCAGCCTGAGCAACATGGTGAAACCCATCTCTACAAAACAAAACAGAGTTAACTGGGTGTGCGTGCCTGTAGTCCCAGCTACTTGAGGGCTGAGGCGGGAGCATCCCTTGAAGCTCAGGAAGCGGAGGTTGCAGTGAGCCAAGATTGTGCTACTGCACTCCAGCCTGGGTGACAGAGTGAAGCCCTGTCTTTTTTTTTTTTTTTTTTTTTTAAGACAAAGTCTGAAGCACGTGCCACCACCACCACACCCAGCTAATTTTTGTGTTTTTAGTAGAGATGCAGTTTCACCATGTTGACCAGGCTGGTGTCGAACTCCTGACCTCAAGTGATCCGTCTGCCTCGGCCTCCCAAAGTGCTGGGATTACAGGCATGAGCCACGGCACCCAGCCAAGACTCTGTCTTTAAAAATATATATATAAGATAAGATTTTAAAAAATTTTATAATTCTTTCTTACCTGGATCTGGGGGAAAAAAAGGAAAAAAAAAACCCACTTTGTATTTGATGCTTTGATCATTTAAAAGAGTTTTGAAATGTTTGTGATCCAAAGACTTTAAAGTGACCTTACTACTTGAAAAGATTGTGAACCACTGAATCAACACTGGATGATTTCAGAGCACTTTCTTCACTCTGACCTTCTAAGATTCCTTCCTTTTCTGTAAGTGTTCTCCATTCATGAAGTCTATCAGTTAACATTATTTGGGCCGGCCTATGAAATATCTCTTATTTGTCTCCTCTTTAAGTCAAGCCCTCATTTTTTCCCTCTTGGTAGGTCTGTAGTTTTAGTCTGACCTCTCATTACTCTGAAATTCCTGTTCTAGCAAGTCCTTCCCACCCTGTAACCCCAGTGAGCATACATCTCAAGTCAGTTGGTGCTAATCCTTTCCATGGTTTCCTGAAGGGGTGGCCTGCCCCTCCACACCTGTGGGTGGGCGTTTCTCATTAGGTGGAACGAGAAACTTGAGAAAAGAAATGAGACACAGAGACAAAGTATAGAGAAAGAAAAAGTGGGCCCAGGGGACCGGCATTCAGCATACAGAGGACCCACACCTGCACGGGTCTCTGAGTTCCTCAGTATTTATTGATCATTATCTTTACCATCTTAGAAAAAGGTAAATGGCAGCATAATAGGATCATCATAGGGAGAAGGTCTGCAGTAAGACATGAATAAAGATCTCTGTGACATAAGTTTAAGGAAAAGTGCTGTGCCTTTATATGCATATGTAAACATCTCCATAAACCTTTTTAGTGCATGAAGAGCAGCATTGCGCTAGCAAGTCCCACCTTTCGCCCTAAGGCAGTTTTCTCCTTTCTCAGTAAACAGAACATACAATTCAGTTTTACACCGAGATGTTCCATTGCCTAGGGACGGGCAGGAGACAGATGCTTTTCTCTATCTCAACTGCCAAGAGGCCTTCTTTCCTCTTATACTAGTCCTCCTCAGCACAGACCCTTCATGGGTGTCAGGCTGGGGGACGATTAGGTCTTTCCCTTCCCACGAGGCCATATTTCAGACTATCACATGGGGAGAAACCTTGGACAATACCTAGCTTTCCCAGGCGGAGGTCCGTACGTGTCCCTGGGTACTTGAGATTAAGAGAATGGTGATGAGTTTTCACAAGCATACTGCCTTCAGGCACTTGTTTAACAAAGCACACCCTGTACAGCCCAAAATCCTTTAAACCTTGAGTCACCACAGCACATGTCTCTTGCAAGGACAAGGTTGGGGGTAGGGTCACAGATTAACAGCATCTCAAATACAGAACAAAATGGAGTCTCTTATGTCTACTTCTTTCTATATAGACACAGTAACAGTCTGATCTTTCTTTTCCCCACAGTTTCCCATTTTCTATAGTGAGCTTTTAGAATGCCATTTGGGCCCTTTACAGTATATTTCCATCCTACTTTTCCAGCCTCACCTTTTTCCTCCACTCCACTTTTTTTCATCTGTTCCAGCTACCATGTGGCACCCTTATTTTTCCTTAAGCCTGACTTGCATTTTACTCATACCAGCCCTTCTAACTGAAATACTTTGCTGTCTGTCCATATTCTGTCCATCCTTTTAGGCCCACTAAAGAGCCATCCCCTCCAAAATATTTTTTCAATTATTCCAGTTGCAAATGACTGCTCTTCAGATCTGCTAAAGGACATTATTGTTATTTCTGTTAATGATAATTGATGCTATTACCTATGTTATAGTTCTCTGTGTGTCTATTTCTAGTTTGTAAATTCTTTGAAGGCAGTGACCGCATTTTGTTCATCTCTGCATCCCTCTTAGGGCCCAGCACATAATGCAGTACACGCCCAATTAAAGATGAGACTCATAGAGTTTAGAGTAGCCACCTTGTCCAACCTTTTCCTATTAGAGATGAAGAGACTTCCAAAGGTCATACAGCAGGTTGACAGCAGAGGTGCAGTAGGAACTGAAGTGAGGGAGAATTTGAGGATTCAGATCCATGGGGAAGATAGTTTGCTGAATGAAGGAGCAGTGCTTTAGGGAACAATTTTAATGGAAATTTAAAGACAGTAATTCAGAACTGGATACAGAGTAGATACCAACTGCAAATTGTGGGAATAATTCTCTGGATAGTATCTGGCAGTCTTCAGATACATTGCTGTTATCCTGGCTAAGCCACATAGGTTGCCGTGTATTGGTTCACAATCTGATCTTGTGTGTAATTTAGAATCTTGATAGGTTTTTTTGGAGAAGTTTAAGTCCTAAGGTTACTGCTTTAGAACATGAAAATCAAACAAGACTAATTTTAAGCATTAACCCTTTGGCTCGTTGGCAAGGGTCACATAGGACCTGAAATTTCTGCACTATGTAGTTTAACATACCACTATTTTTTTTTTAACAGCTTTTCAAAGGTATAATTTATATACAATGAACTCCACTTAATAAAATGTACAGGTTGGCAAGTTTTGACATATGTATATACCCATGAAACCATCGCCACAATAAAGATAGCGAATGTATCTTTTACTCCCAGAGGCTCCCTCACACTCCTTGCTAATCTCTCCCTGTTTCAACCAGTCAACCACTGATCTACTTTCTCTCACTATAGATGAACTTGCCCCTTACTTTAGCCAGACATAGGGGGAAAGGATCATATAAATGGAGTCATACATTATGTATTCTTTTGTTTGGTTTCCTTCACATAGCATAGTTATTTTGAGATTTATCTATGTGACATGAATAAATAGTTCATTCCTTTTTATTGTTGAGTGGTAGTCCATTGTATGAGTGTACCACTGTTTTTTATCCATTCCCCTGTTGGTGAACATTAGAGATTTGAATTGTTTTCTGTTTGGAGATATTAAAAATAACAGTGCTGTGAACATTCATGTACAAGTCTTTACATAAAAATATTCTTTCTTTTCTCTGAGTAAATAGCTAGGAGTGGAATGGCTAGATGGTATGGTAGGTGTATATTTAACTTTTTAAGCAACTGGCAAACTGTTTTCCAAAGTGGTTATACTATTTTACATTTCTACAAGCAGTGTATGAGAGAGATCATAGACCTAAATATAAAACCTAAAACTATAAAACTTCTAGAAGAAAACATAGGAAAAAAAAATGTATGACTTTGAGTTAAACAGACTTCTTTAATATGACACCAAACGCATGATCTATACAAGAACAAATTGAGCTGGGTGTGGTGGCTCATGCCTGTGGTCCCAGCTATTCAGGAGGCTGAGGTGGAGACTACAGTGACCTGTGATTGCTCCACTACACTCCAGCCTGGGTGACAGAGAGAGCCTGTCTAAAAAAAAGAACAAAATGATACAAAGTAGAATTAATCAAAATAAAACATTCTTCTTCAGGCTGGGTGGTGGCTCACACCTGTAATCCCAGCACTTTGGGAGGCTGAAGTGGGCAGATCACGAGGTCAGGAGTTCGAGACCAGCCTGACCAACATGGTGAAACCCTGTCTGTACTAAAAATACAAAATTGGTCGGGCACGGTGGCTCATGCCTGTAATCCCAGCACTTTGGAAGGCCAAGGCGGGCAGATCACGAGGTCAGGAGATAGAGACCATCCTGGCTAACACAGTGAAACATAGTCTCTACTAAAAATACAAAAAATTAGCTGGGCATAGTGGCAGGCACCTGTAGTCCCAGCTACTCGGGAGGCTGAGGCAGGAGAATCACTTGAACCCGGCAGGCGGAGGTTGCAGTGAGCTGAGGTCACACCACTGCACTCCAGCCTGGGCAACAGAATGAGACTCAGTCACAAAAAAAAAAAATAGATTCTTTGAAGTTTACATACAGTTAAGAAAATGAAAAGTGGCCAGGCACGGTGGATCACGCCTGTAATCCCAGCACTTCGGGAGGCCGAGGCGGGTGGATCACGAGGTCAGGAGATCGAGACCACAGTGAAACCCCGTCTCTACTAAAAATACAAAAAATTAGCCAGGCACGGTGACGGGCGCCTGTAGTCCCAGCTACTCGGGAGGCTGAGGCAGGAGAATGGCGTGAACCTGGGAGGCGGAGTTTGCAGTGAGCCGAGATCGCGCCACTGCACTCCAGCCTGGGCGACAGAGCTAGACTCCGTCCCCCCCAAAAAAAAAAAAAATGAAAAGAAAAGTCACAAATGCACAAATGGAGAAAAATCTTTGTGAAGAATATATCTGATAAAGGACTTGTATTCAGAATACGTAAGGAGGTTTCAAAACTAAATAGCAAGAAATAACCCAATTAAAACATGGGCAAAAGATTTGAACAAGAAGTATAGATGGGGCCAGGCGCAGTGGCTCACACCTGTAATCCCAGCACTTTGGGAGGCCGAGGCAGGTGGATCACCTGAGGTCAGGAGTTCGAGACCAGCCTGGCCAACCTGGCAAAACCCTGTCTCTACTAAAAATACAAAAATTAGCTGGGCTTGATGGCAGACACCTGTAATCCCAGCTACTCGGGAGGCTAAGGCAGGAGAATCACTTGAATGCAGGAGGTGGAGACTGCAGTGAGCCGAGATCATGCCATTGCACTCCAGCCTGGGTGACAGAGCGAGACGCCGTCTCAAAAAAAAAAAGTACAGACGGTAAATATGCACGCAAAAAGATATTCAACATTAGGGAGATACAAATTAAAATTACAGTGAGATTGTACTGCACACTATTAGATTGGCTAAAATTTTAAAAGGCACAGAAGCAACGCAACACATGTGTGCAACCAAAGTGTTGGTTTGCACACCATGACTTTGAGTTAAACAGACTTCTTTAATATGACACCAAACACATGATCTATACAAGAACAAATTGAGCTGGGTGTGGTGATGAAGGGATGAATGGATAAACAAAATGGGGTATATAAATATGGGATACTGTACATATTGCCTTAAAAAGAAAGGAAGTTCTGACAGATGAACTTTGAAGATGTTGTACTAAATGAAATAAACCAGACACAAAAGGACAAATGTTGTATGCTTTTACTTACATATCTAGAGTAGTCAAATCTAGAGAGACAGAAAGTGGAATGGTGGTTGCCGGGAGCTTGGAGAGGGGGAGAATAGGGAGTGTTCAATGGATGCAGAGTTTCTGGTTGGGAAGATTAAAACATTCTGGAGATGGACGATGGTGATGGCTAGACAACAAAGTAAATGTACTTATTCCTACAGAACTGTGCATTTAAGAATGGTTAAAATGGTAAATTTTACCTGTAATCACTTTTTTTTAATAAAGGAAAAGCCATGCTTATAAATATCCCCATTCCTCCTCTTCCCCTTTTCTCCAGCCTCTGGCAACCAGTGGAATCCCTGAATCTACTTTTTTTTTTTTTGAGACAGTATTTTGTTCTTGTCGCCTAGGCTGGAGTGCGATGGCACTATCTCGACTCACTGCCACTGCTGCCTCCTGGGTTCAAGCGATTCTCCTGCCTCAGCCTCCTAAAGTAGGTGGGATTACAGGCACCCACTACCATGCCCAGCTAATTTTTTTTGTATTTTTAGTTGAGATGGAGTTTCACCATGTTGGCCAGGCTGGTCTTGAACTCCTGACCTCAGGTGACCCACCTGCTGTGGCCTCCCAAAGTACTGGGATTACAGGCATGAGCCACCGCGCCTAGCAGAATCTACTTTCTATATGGATTTTGTCTATTCTGGACATTTCATATAAATAGAATCATTCTCAAAAGGAAGCCTTTTGTGTCTGGCTTATTTCACTTAGCATAATATTTTAAAGGTTTATTCATGTTGTAATATGTGTCATTACTTCATTGCTTTTTATGGCTGAATAATATTCCATTATATGCACATAACACATATTTATCCATTCATCACTTGGTGGACATTTGGATTGTTTCCACTGCTGTGAACATTTGTGTGCAAGTTTTGTGAAAATAGCATGTTTTCTATTATCTTGGGTGTAAAAACATTATTAATACTATTTTAGATTCAGTTATGCAAAGTGGAATCCCTGAATTAAAAGAGTATATTCATTTTTAAGGCTTTTCATTTGTATCATGTAGTTACCTACCCGAAAAGTTGTACCAGTTGAATTGTATACTACTACTAACAATATATTAGCCCATTTATTTGTAGTGTCTATTAAGAGACAAGAAAACTGTTCTGAAAACATCTTCTGTATCTACCACTGGTAGTCATCAGGTTCTCTTACATAGTTCTTCCTCCTTCTCTCTATCCTTACTGCTGCTCCCCTAGTTTACTCCTTCATCACCTCTTACCATTTACTGCCTTGTAATTGAAAATTTTTCCCCTGACACTGGTGCAGAGTGATTTCTATAAATCAGATCTTGTCATTTTAATTCTTTGTTTAAAACCACTTATGGCTTGCCAATGATTTTCTGGAAAAAGTCTAAATTCCAAGCATGACATAAAATACCTGTTAGAATCTGGCTTCTGTGCATCTTTTCAGTTTCAGTGCTTGTCCTTCACCTCGCCCTTTTACCTTCTCACCACCTCTCTCCCATTCTGACCCCAGTCATACCAAGCTACTTGTTCCTTCAAAGTGTAACACTATCCTCTCTGCCTTTTTATGTGCTGCTACTCCCTCTACCTAGAACACCTTTCTTCTGGATAACTCCTACTTCTTAAAATTTAGTTCAGATGTTACCCTTCTGGGAAGCCTTCCTTGTACCCTCTGTTCTTTTTTAAGCTCCTATAGTTTCTAGTCTTAGCCTATAGCATTTATCTGGATTACAGTTGCCTTTTTTTCTATATCTTTCATTGGATTGAGCTCCTTAAGACTAGAGAATATATCAGGCCAGGCACAGTGTCTCATGCCTGTAATCCCAGCACTTTGGGAGGCTGAGGTGGGCGAATCACAAGGTCAGGAGATCGAGACCATCATGGCTAACACAGTGAAACTCCGTCTCTACTAAAAATATGAAAAGTTAGCTGGGTGTGGTGGCATGCACCAGCTACTGGGGAGGCTGAGGCAGGAGAATCGTTTGAACCCGGGAGGTGGAGATTGCAGTGAGTGGATTGCGCCACTGCACTCCAGCCTGGGCAATAGAGCGAGACTCTGTCTCAAAAAAAAAAAAAAAAAAGGCCAGGGGCAGTGGCTCAAGCCTGTAATCCGAGGTGGGTGGATCACCTGAGGTCAGGAGTTCGAGACCAGCCTGGCCAACATGCTGAAACTCCATCTCTAAACATACAAAAATTAGCCAGGCGTGGTGGCGGGCCCCTGTAATCCCAGCTACTCCGGAGGCTGAGGCAGGAGAATCGCTTGAACCTGGGAGGCAGAGGTTGCAGTGAGCCGGGATCAGGCCATTGCATTCCAGCCTGGGCAACAAAGCAAGACTCCATCTCAAAAAAAAAAGACTAGAGTATATATCTTATTCTTCTTTGTAGCCCCAGCACAGGCAATACGCATAATAGGTTGTTGCAAATGTTTAATAGGTGAGTGAAATCTGCTGTTTCAAAAAGAAGTCTGTGTGGAGGAGATGCTGACCCAAGCTTCAGCTATTATTAGGTTGTTACTTCCTACCTGGGCAGGATATGAACTAATAAGATTTATGATGTCTCCTCAGGGAAAAGACTGCTTTGTGTGTATCCATTCTGGAGAGACTGCTGCAAGCTATGGAACCAGTTCACGTGGCCCGGAACCTCAGGGTTGACCTGCAGAGGGGACTAATTCACCCTGATGATTCTGTAAAAATCCTTACCCTTTCCCAGGTATGAAATTTTACTAGGAACCGACATTGACCACCTGCTCTGGACCAGGTTCTGTACTGGGACAGAAAGATGAAGAAAGCATAGTATCTCTCTCTCCTTCCCTCTTCCCTTCTCTCCCTCTGCCCTGCTCCCTCTCTCCTCCTGGAAAATGTGTGGTCTATTCCAATGTGCATAGCTAACTATAACCTGGCAGATACAAGCAAATGAAAGAAGTTCCATTAAGTACCATCTAAATCATTCATTAATCAGATACTACTGAGTTCCTTTTATATGCCAGGCATGGTGCCATATGCTGTTAAGAGTTACCAAGATTAACAAAACCAGTTACTTTCCTTCAAGGAGCTCCTAGTGTAAAGAAAAAGATTCCTATGTGTTCAAATAGCTCTCTGCCATTTTAGATTCTGTTACACTGGATGAATCAAATGCTATAGTAAAGGTCACTAAACCAACAATTAAGACAGTAACTCTTATCATCCTGGTAACCAAAGCATCCTACTATTTGAGTGAAGAGCTGCTGCTAAGGATTATCTTGTCGAAATGTTAGGAGCTAAACAGTTACCCAATAGATACTGAACTACTGTTTTTCCTTTTCTGTGTTTATTCAGCAAAAAAAAAAAACCCTGTAATCCCAGCACTTTGGGAGGCCAAGGCGGGCAGATCACCTGAGGTCAGGAATTCAAGACCAGCCTGGCCAACATGGTGAAACCCTGTCTCTACACAAATACAGAAATTAGCCAGGCATGATGACAGGTGCCTATAATCCCAGCTACTCGGGAAGCTGAGGTGGGAGAATCATTTGAACCCAGGAGGCAGAGGTTGTAGTGACCCGAAATCGTGCCACTGCTCTCCAGCCTGGGCAACAAAGCGAGACTCCATCTCAAAAAAAAAAAAAAGAAAAAAAGTTTGGGGAAGGGGAGAAGATATCAGTTTATTCACTGGCCATTTATATGCCGGACACTGTAGCAGGTGCTTTGCCTATTCGGTCTCATTTAATCTTCGTAACTATCCTGGAATTAAATACTGTGTTCCCATTTTACGGATAAGAAACGGGGCTAAAATTTGTGCAAGGTCAGTGTAGCTAAAAATAGAGCTGGGTTTGTATTGTTTTCACTCACTGAGCTATCTTATCTCTTTACCCGCTTTCTTTTCTTTCCTTTAACAGATGTGACTATGCCATATGTGTGTTTGACTGAATGAATTTAGGTCATTTTGATTTTTTCATGACTTGATATATAGCTGTGATCACTAACTCCTAAAATAACTGTGCAGTAAGGAAATTGGACCATTGTGTGTTTACTGTATGTTGCCCTACTTTAGAAGAGTGTTTCTGATTGTTTTTCTTTCAGATTGGAAGAATTGTTGAAAATTCTGATGCTGTTACTGAGATTCTAAATAATGCTGAATTACTAAAACAAATTGTTTATTGCATCGGTGGAGAGAATCTATCTGTAGCAAAAGCGGTGAGTCTATTAGAATCATTGACTTAAATGTGCAGAGACATTGGTGTCCCAAAAGATAAAGAAAGGCCTTCTGAATTGAGAGGTGAAGGTTTAGAATGGATGATTTGTGTAATGGAATTTACAACCTCATATGAATTGTATAAAATAAATGGTTGTCAAGTAAATACTAGTAAATCCCTTTTATTTTCTAGGATATAAATATCTACAGTATCCATCATAATTCTATGGGGGACACCTTGTGTCTTTTCCAATTATAAATAATAGCTGAAACATAGTGAATGCTCATTGGGCAAGGTGCATTCCGTGCGCTATTTTCACATCAGTCTTATGAAGTAGATAATAATATTCTGTATTTTGGGGACATAAGAGATATTTTCTTTCTTTATAAGGCCATCAAATCCCTGTCAAGAATATCACTAACCCAAGCTGGACTGGAGGCTTTATTTGAAAGCAATCTGCTGGATGATTTGAAAAGTGTAATGAAAACAAATGACATTGTTCGATACAGGGTGTATGAGGTAAGATAAAAAGCATACTTTCTCATGCTTACAAAGCAGAATGCAGTTTGGCTTATGCTGGAAAGCAAGATGGCTCACTGAGTATATAATCTGTGTTTGGCTTTGCAGTAGGTGCTGGGAATATAAGGATGCATTCCCAGCCTAGTATATGAGACAGGCATATACAGCCCAGCTCTATGGGAGGCAAGGGCAGGAGGACCCCTTGAGGCCAGGAGTTTCAGACCAGCCTGGGCAACATAGCGAGACCCCATCTCTACAAAGATTTTAAAAATTAGTTGTGCATGGTGGTATGTGCACGTTGTCCCAGCTACTCAGGAGGTTGAAATGGGAGGATCAACTGAGCCCAGAAAGTTGAAGCAGCAGTGAGCCGTGGTTGCACCACTGCACTCCAGCCTGGGCAACAGAGCAAGACCCTTTCTAAATATATATATATTTATAGTGCAGTATAATTACTATGATACAGAAGATAATGAAACCAGACTTGAAAAAATTTGTAGTAGTAATAAGAAGAAATGGCCTTTATTTGTACCAGTTTTGTACTAAGCCCTATGCTAAAATACTGACATATATTATCTTTAATTCTTGCAGTAAACTTTGTATATTGTTATCATTAACCTCATATTGATGGAGCAATTGATCCAAGGCCACACACTATTAATAGGGTGCATATTTGAAATGGAATCCTCTGCAGTCTTAATTCCCTCTTCAGAACACTTTCTTTGCATGTCATACCATATTATGCTGCTTTTCCTTCCGCCTCTCAGTTTCTTCTCAGCCTCCTGGCTCATTATCCTCCATTGAATCTTTAATTGTTGGAGTTCGTGAAAACAGAGTTCCAAGCCCTGCTTTCACTGTACTCTATACTCATTCCTAGGCAGTTTTACTCATCATATGATTTCACTTCCCATCTGTGATGATGACTCTCAGATGTAAACTTACAACTGAGACCTTTCTTCTGAGCTCAAACCTTCATGCTTAACTGCTTACTCATTCTTGGCCCCTTGGGTATATTCTAGGTCCCTCACACTCATGCTGAAATCAAATTCCTGATCTTCCTTATCCACCCTATCCCCCTAATAAAAAACAAGAGCAACAAATTGGCCCTGTCTCACAGTTTGCTTAGTTGGGTATTAGACCTTGGCTCATTCTGAGGCCTGTTTTTCCCTGCCACATATCCATTCGGTCATCACATTGTGTCGATTTTATTTAAACCCATGCATTTTTCTTCATTAGTACAGCTTCTACCACCCTAGACTAACTTACTGGTGTCACTCACCTGGGCTACTATATTTGCATCCAAACTGTCTCCACTCATCCGTTTTTATCATCCCTAGTCTATCTTCACATGCAGTCAGAATGGTCTTTTAAAAGTCCAAATCTAGATCGCGCCACTGCACTCCAGCCTGGGCGATAGAGCGAGACTCTGTCTCAAAAGAAAAAAAAAAGTCCAAATCTGATTGTGTCATTTCTCTGCTTAAAACCCTTAAGTATCTTCCTATACCTCTCAGTAAGACCTCAGCAAATACTTGCTGAATGAGTAAGTGAATGATTGACTGACTGAGTGACTGACTGACTGACAGAATGCCTGAATGAGTGAATGGTTTTATAATCCGTTTGTTGTGGCTGATTGAGGCTTTTGTACCTTGATTGATGATTGCTTGGGCAGGAAAGTATATAAATGTTCCAGATATAATGGAACATTTCTGTGCCAAGGTGGCTAGGCATGGTGGCTCATGCCTATAATCTCAGCACTTTAGGAGGCCACGGTGGGCAGATCACTTGAGGCCAGGAGTTCAAGACCAGCCTGGCCAACATGGCAAAACCCCATCGCTACTAAAAATACAAAAAAATTAGCCAGGTGTGGTGGTATGTGCCTGTAATCCCAGCTACTCGGGAGGCTGAGGCACGAGAATCGCTTGAACCCGGGAGGCAGAGGTTGCAGTGAGCTGAGATCACGTCACTGTACTCCAGCCTAGGTGACAAAGCAAGACTCTGTTTCAAAAATAATAATAATCTGTGCCAAAGTAATTTCTTATGTGTTCACTGAAGTTTTTCTACTTAAAGAGACAAATAATAGATTTTTAAAAACTCATTTATAGAAAGTACCTAGTCCTATGTTTAACTTAAAATGAGATCTATCAGGCGTAGGGCTGTTTTGACCTTTTTCTTTTTCTGTTTTTTTTTTTTTTTATTTCAGCTAATTGTAGAGATTTCTTCTGTGTCACCAGAATCTTTAAACTACTGTACCACAAGTGGATTGGTAACCCAGCTCCTGAGAGAGCTGACTGGTGAGGATGTGTTGGTCAGGTGTGTTGACTGAGAGTTCTTAAAGTGAAATGAAATGTCCTCTTTTGAAGGGCTGGGAAACAACCCTGGGACGTCTGTGATTTTCTCTATTAGAGACTTTGCCCAGGACACAATCTCATGACTGATGTGTGTCCTGAAGGAGGGACCTTTAGAAAATTGCTCAAGTTACATCATGACAACATACTGGAACTTGGCAAAGCCCCACATGACAATTCAGCTACTTTCAAGTGACTGTGTTCCCTGTCCCTAGTCCTGTGTGCTCTTAAACAGTTGCAATCACATGGTAACTGCCATTTTGAATTACTAATAGTTTGTCATATGCATTTATTTTGGCATTGTTAAATAGCAACAGTATAGCATGATAGAAAAAATATGGGCTAGGCCGGGTGTGGTGGCTTATGCCTATAATCCCAGCACGTTGGGAGGCCGAGGCGGGCGAATCACGAGATCAGGAGTTCAAGACCAGCCTGGCCAACATTGTGAAACCCTGTCCCTACTAAAAACACAAAAATTAACTGGGCATGGTGGCATGCACCTGTAGTCCCAGCTACTCGGGAGGCTGAGGCAGGAGAATTGCTTGAACCTGGGAGGTAGAGGTTGTACCACTATACTCCAGCCTGGGCAACAGAGCAAGACTCTGTCTCAAAAGAAAAAAGAATATGGGCTTTTCAAAATGAGGAAGACTTGGCTTGCATACCTCTCTACTATTTATTAGCTGTTTGGCCTTGGACAGGTTATTATAAGCTTTCTACATCCCAGTTTCCTCATCTCTCAGAACAGTAACTGAAAAAGATATTGTGCCGGGCACAGTGGCTTACACCTGTAATCCCAGCACTTTGGGAAGCTGAGGCGGGTGGATTACCTGAGGTCAGGAGTTTAGGACCAGCCTGGCCAATATGGTGAAACCCCGTCTCTACTAAAAAAAATACAAAACATTAGCCAGGCCTGGTGGCAGGGGCCCATAATCCCAGCTACCGGGAAGGCTGAGACAAGAGAATTGCTTAAACCCAGGAGGTGGAGGTTGCAGTGAGCCAAGATCGCACCATTGCACTCCAGCCTGGGCAACAAGAGCAAAACTCCATCTCAAAAAAATAAATAAATAAAAAGATATTGTAAGAATTAAGCTAATTGACCTTAGAAAGCAGTACAATGGCTGACATAGGTTCTCAAAGAAATGTTAATTCCAGTCTCTTCCACCCTTTATTCCCCCATTCCCTAAATCCCCTTTAATATCTGCCAAATGTTCCTTTGTTGATATTCCACAGCTTATTAATACCTCCTCACTGTTGAACAGTTGATTTGCTTCAAGTATTTTGCTGTTATGATAGCATTATAGTTATCTTTGTGTATATAGGTTTTGATTTTTCTTATCTTAAATGATTTTCTGATTGTCCTGTGTTCTTTAAACATGGCTGAATTTATTAAACCCATATAGTAAATCAGTCACTAGTTACATTGCTTCAGTGCATTTGAGTGTCTCAACCTAATGAGACAATTAATTTTGTTAATTATTTTTTAGCATTGTATCAAATTTTGTGACATAGGAAAAAACCCTATAAATGGTCAGTCAAAACACTTTAGGATCAATTACCAACTGTAAAAATAAATTTTTTAGTTATTTTCTTTGATCAGGGTTGGATATGAGATGATACCAAAGAATTATTGTTAATTTCTTAATATGTGGCAGTGGCATTATAATTGTGTGAGGAAACATACGTGTTTTGCAGAGATGCATACTAAAGTACGCAGGGGTAAATGGCACGGTGACTAGGATTTGCTTTAAAATAGTTCAGCAAAAAGTAGGGAAAAGAGATGAAATAAGTAAAGCAAAATCCTCATAACCATAAAATCAGGTTATGGGTATATGGGGGCTTATTGTATTCTCATTACTTTTGTGTATGTTTGATACTTCAAAATAAAACAAAATTTAAAAAAATATTTTAGGAAGCAGCTAGGTTATAGTGGAAACAATAGTGGACTTCAAATCAGAAGGTCTAGATTTAAATCTAAACTCTGTCTGTAATAACAATGTGATTACAGATAAGTCACTGCAACTTTCTAGGCCTTAGGGCCTCATGTGAAAAGAGGAGCCAAGATTAAGGCCGGGCGCGGTGGCTCAAGCCTGTAATCCCAGCACTTTGGGAGGCCGAGACGGGCGGATCACGAGGTCAGGAGATCAAGACCATCCTGGCTAACACAGTGAAACCCTGTCTCTACTAAAAAATACAAAAATCTAGCCGGGCGAGGTAGCGGGTGCCTGTAGTCCCAGCTACTCGGGAGGCTGAGGCAGGAGAATGGCGTGAATCCGGGAGGCGGAGCTTGCAGTGAGCTGAGATCCGGCCACTGCACTCCAGCCTGGGCCACAGAGCGAGACTCCGCCAAAAAAAAAAAAAAGAAAAGAGGAGCCAAGATTATTGACCTTTCAAATATGATGGGAAGAATTAAATAAGATAACCTATATGAGAGCAATCTATAAACTATGCAAATCCTGTGCAAAAATCTTGTTTTTGTCCTTCTGACATTTTAGAGCCACCTGTATAGAAATGGTGACATCACTGGCATATACTCATCATGGACGACAGTATCTTGCTCAAGAAGGAGTAATTGACCAAATTTCTAATATAATCGTTGGGGCAGATTCAGACCCTTTCTCTAGCTTCTATTTGCCAGGTAAGAAACACTGATGCCTATGGAAATGATGGTGCATGTTTTATTTCTGAGTTATCTCTGACGGCAGGGGGTTGGGGTTGGGAGTGGACAGGGATTGTTTCCCTTAGAGCTGATTTCGTTTAGAAGATATCTAGAGCTACCAAATTCAAATTCAACAGCACATTAAAAAGATCATCCACCCTGATCAAGTGGGATTTATCCTAGGGATGCAGGGAGGGTTCAGCATACACAAATCAATAAATAAGATATACTACATTGACAGAATAAAGATGGAAACCAAGTAATGCGGGGAAAAGCATTTGACAAATTTTAGCTTTCTTTTATAATAAAAACTCTTAACAAATTAAGTATAGAAGAAATCTATCTCAACACAATAAAGGCCAAGTATGACAAACCCACAGCTAACATACTCAGTGAAAAGTTGAAAGCGTTCCTCTAAGATCAGGAACAAGGCCGGGCGTGGTGGCTCACGCCTGTAATCCCAGCACTCTGGGAGGCCAAGGCAGGTGGATCACAAGGTCAGGAGATCGAGACCATCCTGGCTAACACAGTGAAACCCCGTCTCTACTAAAAATACAAAAAAATTAGCTGGGCATGGTGGCACACGCCTGTAGTCCCAGCTACTCAGGAGGCTGAGGCAGGAGAATCCCTTGAACATTGGAGGTAGAGATTGCAGTGAGCCAAGATCGCTCTACTGCATTCCAGCCTGGGCGACAGAGTGAGACTCCATCTCAAAAAAAAAAAAAAAAAAAGGAACAAGACAAGGATGTCCACAGTTACCACTTCTATTCAACAAATTACAAGAAGTTATAGCCAGAGCAATTAGGCAAGATAAAAAAAACAAAAGGCATCCAAATCAGAAAGAAAGAAGTGAAAATGTCCCTATTTGTAAATGATGTAGTGTTATATTAATATATAGAATAAAGATTCCACCAAAAAACTGTTAGAATGAATAAATAAATTCAGTAAAACTGCAGGATACAAAATCGGTGCATAAAAATCAGTAGCATTTCTATACACTAACAGTGAACTCTGAAAAAGTAATAAAAGATACATTCCCATTTACAATAGCATTCAAAAAAATTAACTATTTATGAATAAATTTAAGGAGGTGAAAGATCTATACGGTGAGAACTATAAAAACTGATGAAGGAAATTGAAGAAGACACAAATAAATGGAAAGGTATCCTATGTTCATGGATTGGAAGAATTAATATTATTAAAATGTTGGTGCTGCCAAAGCACCATATAGATTCAGTGCATTCCCCACCAAAATTCTTAAATTTAATGACATTTTTCACGAAAGCAGAAAAAAAATTAAAAATACGCGTATTTCAGAATGCATTGTTCACAATAAAGATATATGATTTTTTAATTTGTCAGTTAAAAGTTAATTTTATTAAAAAGATACCTGTAGCCTCTTACTGAGGTGGAATCTGTTGCTCTGGGAGCTATGTACTGTTGACTTTGATTTTCAGGAAACATCAGTGCTATTTAGAACATTAGGAAATTTTTCTTTTGAATATCAACAAAAAAATAAAAATACTAGTAATGACATTTACAGTATGTTTCACAGATTAATCAAGTCTCTGAGTGGGAATCTTTATTGTAGGATCTACTCTTGCCATTCTATTCTGGGTCTTGGTTAATTAGTCTTTCTTGAACACTTCCAGAAATTGGAGATGTATGCCTTCCTTAGGTAGCCTAGCTACCTAGCTACCTATTTCATTTATTAATGAACATATCCACTTAAAAATTTCTTCCTGGTAATGAGTCTAAACTTGCCTTCCTATAATTTGTATCCACTGGTCCTTTTTCTTTGTTCTCCCTCTTGCATATGCCAGTACTTCAATAGCTGGTCCCAGCTCCATTGACACCCTCTCTCAGGATCACACATCACAGGTCCTTCAGAATCTCCTAATGGTCTCTCTGATCTCCAAGCAACACACTACTGTAACCTTTCTACGCTTTCTGGCCTGCAGTTCATTTCTATTCCTGTGAAGTTATAGGGCCCACAATTCATGCTGTCTTGTTCCCCTATTAAAATATATTCTTGTAAATCTCTTTAGGATTCGTGAAGTTTTTTGGAAACCTGGCTGTCATGGATAGTCCTCAACAGATCTGTGAGCGTTATCCTATCTTTGTGGAAAAAGTCTTTGAAATGACAGAAAGTCAGGACCCCACTATGACTGGTGTAGCTGTAGACACAGTTGGAATCTTGGGATCCAATGTTGAAGGAAAACAGGTTTTACAGAAAACAGGTTGGTATGACTTGGCCCTGTTCAGGGATATCTTAATTTTTGACAGGGGTTCAATGTGTAAGTTCATTTGCTGGTGGGTTAACTACATTGTAGAAACTATTTTATGGGTGGCAGTCTTGTTAACCATAACCTTGGACTCATATCTGAAAGTCTAATAATTACTATGGAAAACCTTTTTTTTTGACTTTTCACTGTTTAGGTTTCTACCAATCTATTTCAACCAAACATTGTTTCCTGTTTCCCCTCTGTGTCTTCTTTGACTAGATTTCATGGTACAGATGATGGGCTAGAATCAAAAAGGCCTGAATTCATGTCCTTGGGTTTTCTATTTCTTTCTTTCTTTTCTTTCTTTCAGATTGGGAGTGTCTCTCTGTTATACAGGCTGGCTTCAAACTCCCAGGCTCAAGCAATCCTCCTGCCTCATCCTCTTGATTGGCTGGGTCTGCAGGTCCACACCATTGTGTCCAGCCCTGACTTTGCTTTTTGAACTTCATTTACTCACTTTGCTTTTTCTAGGCCTCATTTTCTTCATTTATAAAAATGGCATAACAACTACTTCTCAGGGTTGTTGGGAGTATTGACAAAATTTTGGGTTTTTTTGTAATGTCAAGAAAGGAAAATAAAAGTTTGTTATATGATTTCATGTTAAGAGATACTTTTGGCGTGTTACGAGATACAGTAGCTCATGCCTGTAATCCAGCACTTTGGGAGGCCAAGGTGGGTGGATTGCCTGAGCTCAGGAGTTCAAGACCAGGCTGGGCAACATGGCAAAATCCTGTCTCTACTCAAGAATACAAAAATTAGTCAGGCATGGTACTGTGCAACTGTAGTCCCAGCTACTTGAGAGGCTGAGGCAGGAGAATCGCTTGAACCTGGCAGGTGGAGGTTGCAGTGAGCTGAGATCGTGCCACTACACTCCAGCCTGGGTGACAGAGTGAGATTCTATCTCAAAAAAAAAAAAAAAAAAAGGCCAGGCAAGGTGGCTCATGCCTGTAATCCCAGCATTTTGGGAGGCCAGAGCAGGTGGATCACTTAAGGTCAGGAGTTCGAGACCAGCCTGGCCAACATGGTGAAACCCCATCTCTACTAAAAATACAAAAATCAGCTGAGCATGGTGGCGCATGCCTGCAGTCCCAGCTACTCGGGAGGCTGAGGCAGGAGAATGGCTTGAACCCAGAAGGCAAAGGTTGCAGTGAGCCAAGATCATACCACTGCACTCCAGCCTGGGTGACAGTGCGAGACTCTGTAAAAAGAAAAAAAAAAAAAAAAAAAAAAGAAGATACTTTTATGGAACATCCATGAGAATCAACAGCACAACAAATTATACACACAAAATAATATGCAGCCCAATTACTAAAATTCTTGAGACACATATGTTGAAAATTATCTCACCTGTAATCCCAGCACTTTGGGAGGCCAAGAGGGGAGGATTGCTTGAGCCCAGGAATTCAAGACTAGCCTTGGCAACAACAACAAAAAAATTGGCCAGGTGTGGTGGCACATGCCTATAGTCCCAGCCACTCGGGAGACTGAGGTGGAAGAATCATTTGAGCCCAGGAGATGAAGGCTGCAGTGAGCCTTGATCACTCCATTGCACTGCAGCCTAGGTGACAGAGTAAGACTCCATCTCAAAAAAAATTTAAAAAGAGGCCGGGCGAGGTGGCTCATGCCTGTAATCCCAACACTTTGGGAGGCCAAGGCGGGTGGATCGCCTGAGGTCAAGAGTTCGAGACCAGCCTGGCCAACAGTCTCTACTAAAAATACAAAAATTAGCTGGGTGTGGTGGCAGGCACCTGTAATCCCAGCTACTCAGGAGGTTGAGGCAGGAGAATCGCTTGAACCTGGGCAGTGAGCCGAGATCGCGCCATTGCACTCCAGCCTGGGCGACACAGCGAGACTCCATCTCAAAAAACTAAAAATTAGAGAACAGAAAAAGAAAATACACTGTTGTGTATCACGGCTGATATTTTTGTTGTATGTAGTTTTCTAAGTGCTTTTACCTATGACAATCTTTTTACAATCCTGTAAAGAACATACTATTGTCATTTTCATTTTCCAGATAAGGTAGATGAAACTTAGAGGAGTTAAGAAAATTTCTAAGGTCATACAAATTAGGGCAGCTGCTACTCAAATCCAGGTCCTTTGATTCCAGTTTTATAACTCTGCCTTATATATATGCTGTGTTGTGTGTAATTGTGTGTTCTAGGCCTGTCACTGGTTCTCTGACTACATGCTTATTTTTGTATTGGTTTAGGTTGGTAGAGGTCATAGTGTATGAGAGCATACTTTAAAAAAAAATCTCATTTTTCACTTCAGATCCATTAGGATGGCTATTACTTTAAAAAAAAAAAAAAACATAAAATAGTAAGTGTTAGGATGTGGAGAAATTGTAACCTTTGTGCATTTTACATTTCCTTCATCCAACAGCTCCACTTTCAGGTATATACCAAAAAAAATAAAAGCAGAGACTCAAACAAATGTTTGTTCACTCATGTTCGTAGCAGCATTTGATTCACAACAACCAAAAAAAGGTGCAAGCAACCCAATGAACATTGATAGATGAATCAATAAACAAAATGTGGTATATACATACAATGGAATATTACTCAGCCTTTAAAAAGAATGAGATTCTGGCACATGCTACAGCATGGAGGAATCTGCACCATTGATAACATTATGCTAAGTGAAGTAAGCCAGACACATAAGGACAGATATTGTACAATTCCACTTAGATGAGATACCTAAAAGAGTCCAGTTCACAGGAGGTAGAATAGGGGTTGGCAGGGGATGAGGGTAGAGAAGAAAGGAAATTATTGTTTAATGGATACAGAGTTTCAGTTTGGGTTGACGAAAAAGTTCTAGGATGGTTATGATGGTTGCACAACAATGTGAATGTACTTAATAGCACTGAACTATACACTAAAAATGATTAAAATGGTAAATTTTATGTTGTGTATATTTTACCATAATAAAGAAGAATCTCACTGTTACCCTTCAAAGGAACTCGCTTTGAACGCTTGCTTATGAGAATAGGACATCAATCAAAGAATGCCCCAGTGGAGCTAAAAATTAGATGTTTGGATGCAATTTCATCTCTTCTGTACTTACCAGTAAGTAGATTGGGAAATTAAACATATCCCACTATTAATTAGTAGTGGGATATGTTTGGGAAAATAAATCTGTATGAATCAACATGATAAATGTGATGAAGTAAATGCCATTTTTCTCTTAATACAAGGAGATAACCCTCATATGACTAGTGACATTTTTAATTTAAAATGGAATCATAGAGTGTTAGAACTGAACGGACTCTAGAGATTGCTTTATCAACCACATTCAGAGAAAACTGGGAAAAGTCTGGGCTGGATTTGAGAAAGAGTCCTCCAAACTTAGCCAATATCACACAACAAATTAATGACAGAGTGCCATTAGTACTCAGGTGTCTAACTTCCAAATAAGTGCTTTTCTCCAGATCAGTTAACTTTGTGATGAGATTTTCCTTTTCTTTCCTGTAGCCTGAGCAGCAGACTGATGACCTTCTGAGGATGACAGAATCCTGGTTTTCTGCTTTATCTCGGGATCCACTGGAGCTCTTCCGTGGCATTAGTAGTCAACCCTTCCCTGAACTACACTGTGCTGCCTTGAAAGTGTTTACGGTAGGTATTCACTTCCATAGGTCCTTCTGGGAGCCTGCCAGTTCAACACTTGAGTACTTACAGTGAGCCAGAGCCTGTGCCATCTCTGGGGATTCACAAGTGCATGGTATAGTTTCTACCTTCTGCTACCTCAGAGACTAAGGAGGGAGATAGATGTGTAAACATATTGTTTCAGTAAAAGATACTAGGTGCTGTTTAAGGTTTGAATAGGATGCTATGGGATAACACAGTTAATTCCAGACTTTTTATCTGCCATCCTCTATTGACCTAACCCTGGTCTTCCTAATCCTTATTTCCCCCGCAGAAAATAAGACTTCTGGCACCTAATGCTCCAGTGGTACCAAACTGTTTGTGTCTCTGAACCTTTGCTGGGGTCTCTATATCTAACACTCTTCCTTAACTTTGCTTCTTAACCTCTTGCTCATTCGTCAGGGACTAACTCCGGTATGTCTTCAGCACACTTTGCCCAGATTGACAAGGTTGAGTTAAACAATGTTGGCTCTCATATGTTGCATTTATTTATTCAGCAAACATTTGTTGAGTTTCCGTTTTTGCTCAGTGAAGGGCATACAACAGTGAAGAAAATATATAAAGACCTTCCTTTCATGTAGTTTCCTGCCTATTGAAGGAGCGAGGCAGTAAATATAATTGTACAGTTACTTACATTACTACAGCTGTGGTAAGGATTATACCTTTGTGTTCTATTTGTTATATTATTTTGCAAATGTTTATTTATTGACCTGTCTCACCTATTAAGTAGAGTTGGTTGACAGCAGGAAGCATATCTGATTTATCTTTGTAGCCACAGCATAGAAAGGTAGTAATCACTTTAGTAATCTTATCAATAATGGGATCTCAGACAGCATACATGGCCTAGACTGGGAGGGAATAAGGAGAATGGCAGGGACAAAAGAGGGAAGGCTTCCTGAGGATGCGATACAGGATCTGGGTCTTGAAGGATACAGGTATTCCTATAATCTTCAGAAACATTTTTTTTTTTTTCCTGAGATGTAGTCTCTCGCTGTGTCTCCCAGGCTGGAGTGTAGTGGCACGATCTTGGCTCACTGCAAACTCCACCTCCCGGGTTCACGCCATTCTTCTGCCTCAGCCTCCCGAGCAGCTGGGACTACAGGCACCCGCCACTACGCCCGGCTAATTTCTTTTTGTATTTTTTTTTTTTTGGCATTCCTCGCCCACTGGAGGCTCGCTAATAATTCTTTTTGTATAAATTTTTAGATAGAGACCGTGGGGTTTCCCACTGGTGCTCTAGCCCCGCAGGATGGTCGTCACCCCATCTCCCGACCTTGTGATCCGCCCGTCTCGGCCTCCCAAAGTGCTGGGATTACAGGCTTGAGCCACCGCGCCCGGCCTCTTTTTGTATTTTTAGTAGAGACGGGGTTTCACTGTGTTAGCCAGGATGGTCTTGATCTCCTGACCTCATGATCCGCCCGCCTCAGCCTCCCAAAGTGCTGGGATTACAGGCGTGAGCCACCGCACCTGACCAGAAACATTTTTTTAAGACTGCTTCACCCTTGTAAATAGTCCTTGTATGAGATGGCCATTTTGGCTCCTGCTTAGTATTTTCATTATTGGTTTATTTTGGTTTTGCTCTTCTGCCTTATCCTGTGCTTAGTTGGTTCCATTGTAGAAATAATTTTCTATTTTCTGGTTGGGATAACTATTTTTATTTCTGCCTACCTTCATGCTTGGTTGTGAGGCAGGCCAAAGTTTCTCAAACATTCGTCTTAGGAATCCTATTAAAATGTAGGTTCTAATTCAGGAGTTGTGGGGCAGAGCCCGGAATCCTGAATGTCTAACAAGCTCGCAGGTGATGGTGATGCTACTTGTCTGTGGAATTCATTTTGAGAGGAAAAAACTAGACCATAAACTTGATTGTTACTTCTTTTTCATTAAAATGTAATAGGTTTTGAAAAACTTAATCTTAAAATTTGAAAAAGACTTAGAAGTAGAATTTTTAAAAAGGTTTACCTATGTCATTTCCTATTCTTTGTAAACACTGTTAATGTTTATTTTTTATTACTATATACCATAATTTACTTAACCATTCTCCCATTATTAGATATTTATATTGTAACTTTCACACTATTATGAACATTTTTGTATACAAAGATTTTTTGTATTTAAGATTATTAAGTTAGATTCTCAGGAAGGAATTTACTTAGACAAAAGGTAACGTTTTTAAAGTTCATGTTGCCAGATTTCTTTGTAAATATTGTGTCATCCCACTAACAAACTTAACTTTGACTCAGGGGAATTGTATTCTTTCTGCCTTCCATTTCAGGCCATTGCAAACCAACCCTGGGCTCAGAAACTTATGTTTAACAGTCCAGGTTTTGTAGAATATGTGGTGGACCGGTCTGTGGAGCATGACAAAGCTTCAAAGGATGCCAAATATGAACTAGTGAAAGCACTTGCCAATTCCAAGACAATTGCAGAAATCTTTGGGAACCCAAATTATTTGAGGCTCAGAACTTACCTGAGTGAAGGTCCATACTATGTGAAACCTGTTTCCACGACAGCAGTAGAAGGAGCCGAATGATTTCTTCTGGAGTCTCATGTAGAGGACCACGCTTTGACCAAAACTTCTCCTAAGGCATTTGACTCCATCTATATTTCACAAAAGAGACTTCCTTCCCCCAAGAATTATCATGGATTGTCCGGTGTTACTTTGTCACCAACATTGTTATGTGTCTACATTGAAATGCAAAGTGGAACTAGGAGTTTGGAATGCATTAAGAGCAGGCAAGCTTGGTTATAATCCAGTGTTTTTCAGATTCCTTTCACTGCCTTAATCTTTGCAACAAGATGGAAGTTTTTTTCTTCCCTCGAAATTTTCATCGACATACAATCTTTTTTTTTTTTTTTGAGATGGAGTCTCACTGTGTCGCCCAGGCTGGAGTGCAGTGGCGCAATCTCGGCTCACTGCAAGCTCCGCCTCCCGGGTTCACGCCATTCTCGTGCCTCAGCCTCCCGTATAGCTAGGACTACAGGCGCCTGCCACCGCACCCGGCTAATTTTTTGTATTTTTAGTAGAGACGGGGTTTCACCGTGTTAGCCAGGATGGTCTCCATCTCCTGACCTCGTGATCCGCCTGTCTTGGCCTCCCAAAGTGCTGGGATTACAGGCGTGAGCCACCACGCCTGGCCCATACAATCTTATTTAAAAGCCTCCTTCAGGGCTGGGCGCGGTGACACACGCCTGTAATCCCAGCATTTTTTTGCCAAGGTGGGCAAATCACTTGAGCCTAGGAGTTCAAGACCAGCCTGGCCAATATGGCAAAACCCCGTCTCTACTAAAAATATAAAAATTAGCCAGGCATGATGGCACACACGTATAATCTCAGCTACTCAGGAGGCTGAGGCATGAGAATCGCTTGAGCCTGGGAGGCAGAGGTTGCAGTGAGTGAGATCTTGCCACTACACACCAGCCTGGGCAACACAGCAAGACTCTGTCTCAAAAATAAGTAAATAAAACAAAAATCTGCCACCAAATTATTTCTGGATTTTCTTCACTGTCTCTTTTTTCTTTTTGGCACTATCTCTTTTTTCTTTTTGGTCCTTTTTCCGTTTCTGATTCCACTTTCAAAGTCTTGAATATATTCTTTGAAAAATAAGTAGTATGGAATATTAAAATTATATTCCTTATACTCAGAATCCTTTTTATGAGCTCTTTTTTTGTTACTATTATTCCTTTGAAAAAATGACTTAAAGTCTCTAAAAAATGTTTATAGTGTTTATGTATTTTTTTTTTGCTGCTTACCGATGAATTTTACCCTGTTGTGGTTTTGGGGGAGGAAAAGTGATAACATGCTAACCAGAAGGATTCCTAAACTGTCATTTCATTTATTGGTAGGTCATGATTGTTGAGGGTTTTGCTTTGGATTTTTCATACCTATAAAGTCAATCTTGAGTTGATCAGAGAAAAGGAAACTTACTCCTAATACACAGAGCCAGAACAGAAGGGACATTTGCATAAATCAGGATACCATCTCATTAATTTACAAAGGATAATCTTTCTTTTCATTGACAACACCTACACCCACCTGTTTTCCAGTGTTGTTCTCTCTGAACAGCAAAGCCAAAGCTCTCTGCACACCACATCACCTGTTCCGAGGTTTATGCACGAGCGTATTTCTTTTAGGCCATGGTGAAGTTGATAAACCACCCCTGCTTTGTAACAAAATTATTTCAAAGTGACTGGAATTATCTAGTCCCCAGATTGATCATCTCCCCTGGCAACGTGACTCTCTTTTTTGTGTGTGTTTCCATGCTGACCAGTCCCCTACTGTTAATATCACTACTAATTAGGCTACAGCCAGGTCTTTCCTGGCCTGAGAAATATTCTCTTAAAATGACCTTTGTTTTAATTTCATTCATGATGTTGATTTTTTTTTTCAATGTGGTACAGTATATACAATAAAATTTGTCATAACTATTTTAAGTGTACAGTTCAGTATATTATATATGTTCATAATGTTGTATAACCATCACCACCATCCATCTTCAGAATTATTTTCATCTTATACAATTGAAACTGTATTCATTAAACAATAACTGTCTATTCCCTCTTTTCTACAACCTCTGGCAACCACCATTCTGCTTTATGACATTGATTTTATTCACTTAACATCAGAGTTTGGGGGGATGCCCTCCTATGTATGGCCTACACATTCTGATTTTTTTTAGATTGAATAAAATACGTAAATCATTTTAATTTCATAAGTAAACACCTGTTGACTGCCAATTATGTTATTGGCACTGGGGAAAGTGCTAGACATTGGCCTAAGTGCCAAGTGTATCCCATTTAACTTTTACAACCCTGTTTCACAGATGAGGAAACCAAGACTTTCAGTAGCTTATCTGAAAATCACACAAGAAGAAAGTGTCTTATAGTGGAAGAAAATAGGTCAATAGAAAGAGAGTATAAGAAGTACAATAATAGAGGAAAACAGAAAACATGTCCCCAGACTTAATATGTTTTCCAGGGAAGGAAACACCTGCATCTTGAAGAACTAGTAGGAGCCAGTCAAGTGAAGAACACAGTGGAGTCGCAAAGCAAGACAGCAGGTACACATGAAAATGAGAACATGTTTGAGAAACTACAAGTAATTCAATATGACTAACGCCTAGGATTTAAAGGGAAATTTTTGCAAAATTCTTTATTACTAATAATAGCTACCATTTCTTAGCATTGATTTTATGTTAGGCACTTGGCATGCATTTTCTCACTTTATCATCATAGCCATAAAAGTTAAGTATTTCACAGACAAAGGCACTAAAACTGGGAAATTAAGTACTTTGTTCAGGTCACAAAGCTAGAATATTAATCTGATTTTCTGAGGGTTAATGGTACTCCTCTTTTGTCACCTGGTTATATTTGAAGGTAATAGTAGCTAACAGTTACTGAGTTTTTAATGTGTCCCAAGCATTTGCTAAGACGTTTTCATGTATTAACTCATGTGGCCATCCTCACACTTCCAGGAGTTACATAACAAAACCAAGGCACAGCAAAATTCAGGAACTTGGGTGAGATCACACAGCAAATAAGAGGAGTCAACATTTCAACCTAGGCTGTTTAATACAGAACATATGTTCCTGAATACTCTCTGTTCCTCTTAGTCAACATTTACTATGGACCAAATCTATTGACAGACACTTGCCATATGTAGACCATCAACCACACAAAGATTGAGTTTGTACATAAAGAGGCTCAGGATGACTTAGTAACATATCAAAAAATCTGGTCTAATAAGGGTCATGGCAGGGACTTAAACTTAAAATCTCAAGAGCCCCAAGATGGGAACTACTGATCTAATCATTACACAAGAGAAATCAGAAAGTGTGTGTTGTGGGTTGAATAGTGTTCCCCAAAAATACGTGTTCAAGTTCAGGTACCCCCAGAACCTGTGAACATGATCATATTTCTCAATGGGGAGGAAGCCAGGCACAGTGGCTCACGCCTGTAATCCCAGCACTTTGGGAGGCCGAGGTGGGTATATCACCTGAGGACAGAAGTTCAAGACCAGCCTGGCCAATATGGTGAAACCCCGTCTCTACTAAACATAGAAAAATTAGCTGGGCATGGTGGCACATGCCTGTAGTCCCAGATATTCAGGAGGCTGAGGCAGGAGAATCGCTTGAACCCGGGAGGTGGAGGTTGCAGTGATCCAAGATCATGCCACTGTACTCCAGCCTGGGCGACAGAGCGAGACTCTGTCTCTAAATAAATAAATAAATAAATAAATAAATAAATAAATAAATGGAGAGGTGGTGGGGCATCTTTGCTGATGTAATCAAGTTAAGATGATGACATTAGGGCAGGCCCTAATCCAATGACTAGTGTCCTTATAAGAGGGAAATTTGGACACAGACACACAGAGGGAAGATGGTGTGAAGTTACTAACACACAGCAGTCCACGTAAAGGTGAAGGTAGAGGTTGAAATGACACGTTTGCAAGCCACAGAACGTCAAGGATTGCTGGCAACCAGCAGAAGCTACGAGAAACAAGGATTCTCCCCAACTGGCTTCAGAGAGAACAGGGCACTGACACCTTGATTTCAGCCTTCTAGCCTCAAAAACATGAGAGAATAAGTTCTGCTGTTTTAAGTCACCCAGTTTGTGATACTTTATTATAGTATCCCTAGGAAACGAATATAGGGTATATTTCATGACATGAAATGTGAATTTGTTGCACCCCATCTGTGAAATACTGCCTAAGTAGAACTTGACAAAAGTTAGACATCCAGCTCTTTACACTAGTGAAGTTTTAAGCTAATATAAACTAGGGGGCTAATAGTTTTAAGTTACTTGCAGTTCTACCACCCAGATTACTAAAATGTTTCTTGCTTGCAGACAAGAAACTTTTTTTTTTTTTTTTTTTTGAGAGAGAGTGTTGCTCTGTCACCCAGGTTGGGGTCCAGTGGTACGATCTTGGCTCACTGCAACCTCTGCCTCCAGGGTTCAACCTATTTTTGTGTCTCAGCCTCGTGACTGGGATTATAGACGTGCACCACCATGCCCGGCTAATTTTTGTATTTTTAGTAGAGACGGGGTTTCACCATGTTGGCCAGGCTGGTCTCAAACGCCCAACCTCAGGTGATATGCCTGCCTCAGCCTCCCAAAGTGCTGGGATTACAGGAGTGAGCTACCACACTCGGCCAAGAATAACATTTTATTACAAAAATTCCCCTATTTAAGGTTTTCCTTTTAATTCTGAGCATTCGCCACCATCACTGAGTCATGACAGTACCATGGAATGATTTTTAAAAGTCCACTAATTAGGGCCGGGCGCGGTGGCTCAAGCCTGTAATCCCAGCACTTTGGGAGGCCGAGACGGGCGGATCACGAGGTCAGGAGATCGAGACCATCCTGGCTAACACGGTGAAACCCTGTCTCTACTAAAAATACAAAAAAAATTAGCCGGGTGAGGTGGCGGGCGCCTGTAATCCCAGCTACTCGGGAGGCTGAGGCAGGAGAATGGCGTGAACCCGGGAGGCAGACCTTGCAGTGAGCTGAGATCCGGCCACTGCACTCCAGCCTGGGCGACAGAGCGAGACTCCGTATCAAAAAAAAAAAAAAAAAAAAACACCAGTCCACTAATTATAAACCAAAATAAGACTTGGTTACATTTTTTTTGGTTGTAGATATGTAAACATCACACACACACACACACACACACACACACACACACGCTTTTTTTCCACAATGTACTCTGTGTATAAGGCCCTTTCTTCCCTTGGTCAGTCCCTGTCATATGAATCTGATGGAAGAAAGTCTACAGGGAGTATCCCTGGCAGACTGACCAACCTAGGTATATGTATGTAGAATGATTAGGTTATCCTCAAACAGGTATCAAATACTTGAATCTACTTCACCGGGGCAATAAGTTAGGC